TCTTTCTCTAGTTTTGCAGCTTTGCTACATCTTTTGAAACTTTATCATTTCCCCTTTAATCTGATTTGCATTTCAAACAAACTTGAGCAAGTTTTTGGGGATAATTAATAACAACAATAATAATAATAATAATAATAATAATAAATAGCCAGCATTTATATAGTGCTTAAAGTTTTGTAAAGTGTTTTACAAACGTTATCTCATTTGTTACTCACAAAAACACTAAGAGGTAGGTACTGTTACTAAACCAATTATACAGATGAAGAAACTGAGGAAGACAGAGGCTAAGTGACTTGCCCAAGTTCATATAGCTAGTGAGCATCTAAGGAAAGATTTGAATTCATGCTTTCCATGGTCTAGACCTAACATTCTACCCACTTTGCGAAAACCCTCACTAATCCCCATTACCTAAACTCTTCAGTGCAAAGTTGGATAGCACTTATGGGGGAAGTTGTAGAAAAAAGTTTTGTTCATTTTTGGATTGGACTAGATGGCTTTTAAATTCTTCCTAATCTGAAATTCTATGAAACCTCAGACCTCTGTTCCGATGACGACGACTACTACCACTACTACTACTACTACTACTACTACTTCTACTACTACTACTACTACTACTACTTCTACTACTACTACTACTACTACTACTACTACTACTACTACTAGCATTATTACTACTACTAGCATTATTACTACTACTACAAAGGTTAGTAATAATAATAAAGGCAGAGGTTGCCTTTCTTTGTTCCTCTGACTCATAGTAAAATACCATATAGTAGACTACATAAGAAAAACAAGGTAGAACTACACAAGTATTTATCAACATCATGAAGTGTCTGATAAACTCTTGTGCAAAATTTTTTCTAAAGAATGAAACTCTCTATCTGATAATTCTCTTAGAGTGCCAATGTCTAGCCTTCCTTACAAATATCTTCTTGAAGGAGGGCAAGAAAATTGGTTTGTACAACAGCGACATTGGAATTCTGCCATTTCACTTCATGATTCTGGCTGATGTTGTTTGGTAAGTCAACCTGACCTCTCAACTGGCATTTATTAAAATTCATTGTTCACACAGCCTAATTCACCCCTTATGAACAACCTTAGAGATATTATAGCTGAGGAATGATCAATAGATGCACGCATTCTCTTTGACAATATGAAGCCCAGTGGTTTCTCTTACTTTTCCCAGAAATGAAGTAGATCATTTATTTTCCTTTTCTCTCAGTTCAGTAAAAACGGTCATTTGTTTTTCTCTTTATTAGAAATCTTTCCTTGAAATTGAAAACTGGTTTCATTTTTGTTTGGCAGTTTTGTTGTTGTTATTTGTTTGTTTCAAGGTGGTGAAGAATCAACTTTAAATCACTCAGAGACGCAAGACAGATGTCATTTCAGTGCCTAATCCTTCTAGCCAATTGTGGTTGGTAAAATGAACTTTTCCTCAAAGTAGTCCAACAAAATAAAAATTGCTAATTTAGCCAAGCTATCTAAAAATTGTCTTACTTCAAAGCCAAGTGTTCACACAGGAATATATTGAGACTAATACAATATTCTTCAAAAAATCCTCCATTAGGCTGCCACTTGGCTGAGACGCATCACACTAAGAGCATAAGCACCTTCTAAAGTGAACATCTTTAAGTGTCAGCCATTTAAAAAATTGGCCCCTTCTGTCGAGTTTACTCGTAGTTTTCAGGGAAGACAAAGATTCTGTAATACTGAAACCAAAGATAATCACTAGTCGATAGATACCCAGCACTTCAGAACCATAAAATGTTCAAATCCGAGGAGGAATCAAGGAGGGTTTGTCCAATACAGTAGGTGAGGAAACTGAGGGCCAGATGGGAAACCTGCCTTGCCCAAAGTTATATATGATGAACTATAGGTAAAGCTCAACATAGAAGTCAGGTCTCTAACATCCTAATCCAGGGCCTTTTCTACCACATTTTATGACACACAATTTCTTTTTTTCAAACAGGTAATTCAAGGCAAATTAAAATTATTTAATGTTCATGATTTTCAATTGTTGATATTTAAGATGGTTCATAAGGAGACAGGAGCAGTAACCAAAAGTTACAGCCTTGAAAGGAGAATGCATCCCAGCTCTATTTAGGAGATCTTTCTTGAAGGACTAATGAGCCATTCTTTGAGAAATTAATCAAATAATGTGATCCAGAACACTTTAGATTCAGAAAAGAATAACACAAATACTTTCCCAATTCAAGAAAAAATACTCTCCCTTCATTTCAAAGATACCCCTTATCAGAGCAGGATGGGAGGGATTATTATTCTATTGTTTTGTAATTAAGAAACACTCCAAAGTTGATCAGCTCAGGGACAAAGGGCTAGGCCTGAAGTCAGGAAGAGTAATCTTCCTGAGTTCAAGTATGGATTCAGACATCTACTAGCTGTGTAACCCTGTGCAAGTCATTTAACCCTGTTTGCCTCAGTTTCCTCATCTGTAAAATGAGCTGGAGAAGAACATGGCAAACCACTCTAGTATCTTTGCCAAAAAGATCCCAAATGAGGTCACAAAGAGTCAGACACAAGTAAACAACAACCACCAAAGGTAATTTTTGAATGCAGCAGTCAATTTTTGGCTACTAAATCACCAACCAAAATTAGATGTTAATTTCTTCTTGACAGTAGTATAATATCAACCTCAGAACAAGAAAAATCACTAGCCTAACACTTTTTAAAGTAATAAATATTGTCCCATTTACAAGCTGATGATTATTCTCACACCTTTAAAACCCCATGATTTTTTAGCCGCAGTAAATAGGTCAAGAAAAGACATCTCACCTTAGCTGTCTGCAAATTTTAACTAGAATATCTCTGTATTGTGGCCACCACAAATTCACCAGATAGATGAATATAAAGTGAAGTGAAATAAATTAAAACTAAAAATTTGGATACTCTATATTCTACATTAAAGTCAGTGTATTTTTCATTGGGGTTCTGTTATAATCCCTTATTGTTGCCTCAGTTTAGTTCAAAATCATTCAAAGATCTATCTGGAATTTTGTAAGTTCTTGTAATGCAAAATTGAAAAAAAAATCTTAAACTTTAAGAAGTTCTGAAATACTACTCTGACTTCAGCTACGTGTCTGTGTGAGCACACACACCTGTGTGCATACATACATGTCATATATGTAGTCATATGCATATATACACGCACACACACAAATATATATAAACACACCTCTTTCTCATGTCACTTCCATCTGAGTAATCCTGATCACCTAATAGCTTATGACTTAAAGTTGTTCAGCCTGAGGGAACACCCACACTAGAAAAGTTTTATTTGTTCAGTGAAATCTAAAGTAGAATTTTTTTTAAACTAAAGAATTCCCATAGGAAATAAATTCTGTTCCCTAGGGAAATTTGACTTTTCTGCCCACATTCAGCAAACTCCAGAATGTCTGAGGAACCTGTTATTCTGTTTAAACAAATGGTCTGTTTAGTTGAGAGTTGGCATATAAGGATTATCAATTTTAATAGAATTAATGTACAATTAACTGCACTGCTTAACAACTGCAATGATCATTTCATTTTCCCTTCATGATTCAGAAGGTATTCTGTTTATCAGTATCACTTATAATTATAATACTGTGTGTAAGATAAATTCTGGATCTTTCCTGATTCCCCCCCCCCCCAGTTGCCTGCTTATATGCTTTCTTGCTTGGAGAAGAGGTGATTTACTATATTTTGAGTTCACAAGAACATAGGTCTTTTAAATTATACAATATGTGACAGCATACTTGGAAACCACAAAATTCTATGTAAATGCCAGCTATTTTTGTTGTTGTTATTTTCTTAGGGGTAGAAGACTGCCTGATGCCAAAGTCTTCGGCTCAACTGGTTGATATTAATAAAATAATTAAGCATTCCAAGTCTTCTTGTTGTTTGTGTGGTTAAACCAAATTGGAAACAAGGATCATACGCTCTTTCAGCCACCTCTATTCTGCCCACGAAATCCTTCCATGTCATAAAGCTCAATTTCTAGGTGGGCTTTTGGGAATGGGACTAATTTAAGTATATAGCATTTAAATGTGGCTTCCATAGCTGAAATACCTGTGACTTTCCAGAGTAAGGAACCACAAAAGGAAATCAAACCTTCCCCTCCCTCTCCCCTCTTCCCCCCCCCCCCCGCCAGCACCCGCCCCCCTCGCATCTTAGATCTGGGACAATGTTATTTATAATACATGGCAGCAGTATTCCATCGTGGACAGCAGGGGGCACTCTTGCACGAAGCAAAAAACCCCAACAGGGCTCCTTGGGTCTAGAGTGCCAAGGCTTTCAATGGAGCTTCCTGTATGTCTAAAGGGGTATCTACTAAATAGTACGACACTCAATAAATCTACGAGCTTCGGAGGTGAGTCATGATGCAGAAATAAATGGGGAAGGCATATAGTTCAGTGCTTGACACTGAGGATACTCAGGCTTGATGATTATGGGGGTGGGGTGTGTGTGGAAGTCGCAGAGCAGGCATCACAGGAAATCAAAGTGTAAGGAAATGGTACCAGGAGGCATTCCTGTGTCTAAGAGCGTTAGGATCCCGAGGAATTCAAATTTGTTGCACGGTTTGGTTTGAGGTTTATTTTTGTTAAACGCCACCCTCCTCCCCAACGCCAAGAGAGACTTTGAGAACATCTTCCCCTGAATCCCAGGTAGCCAAGCCGCTGGAGAACAACATGTGCGTTTTGTATGGGTGGCTGTGCATATGTTTTCTGCGTGTGTGTTTTCACTCTCCTTTATAACAATTGTCTGGTATAGCTTTAAAAGAAGCTTCATCCAGAAAGGGGGGGAGGGAGATGTGGTAAAAGAGAGCTGACTCTTTTACCTGGGAGTTTTCATCTTCTGCACAGAGGGTTCCAAGGAGAAATCTGACTTCCTCCTTGTTTCCCCCACAGCGCATCCCCCTCCCATCCGTTTCCCCACCCCCAGGTAATCAGTAACATCAGAGGCTTCCGGAGGGAGAAAGAAGACAGACAAAACTAAATACTCACCATATTGACTTCTGATACCATATCTATGCTGGCTATATCTATATTCATGCCCACAGCCACAGGAGGACCTGAAAACCAAGGAGATGGCAAGTACTGTGATCTCTAAGAACTTAATTCATTCTTAGGAAGTTATCTCTTCACTCCATGGTCTCAGCACAATCCTCTCCCTCTTTTCCCTTCCCAACCCCCAAATCTCTATCCCTGAGTCCTCCATGTTAATTTGTAACAGTGAAGATTCTTCAGTTGCCTGAGCCTTGGGGGCTTCCCTCTAGGAATTCTTTATATAACAGGCACACACGTGTTAGGAATGGGTGACAGGTTCCAGATATGTCTACACGTGTGGTCACACCAGGATATGAATACATACACACACAAGCTGTCTAAACCAGTTGGTTAATATATTGTCTTGAAAATCACCATTACCACCACTTCTTCCTCCTCCTCTTTCTTTCCCTCTCTCCCCTCTCCCCCTCCAAGCATGTTTTAACTGTTTCTGTCCTATACAAGTCAGAAGCAATGCTGAGTTTGCACCTTTCCTTTAGGTACCAAGATGATGGCTACAGAGGTTTTGTGTTTGGGTTTGGTTTTTTTTGGGGGGAAGGGGCTGCTCACTGGACTGGGAGAAAAGGTTGAAGGGACGGTAAAATGAGTAAGTCAGGCTTTAAGGATAAAAATAGAAAGATCAATGCCTAAAGAAATGGGCAAGTAAAACTCTTCAAAAGTAGGCAGGCACAGGGGGTTAAATACCATCTTCTAATCATTTGTCAGCACATCTTGCCCTCAAGAATGCTTACTGTATCCCAGGACATATTTATACTTTGCACCCAAACAAACCAAACTTACAAGACTTACATGTTAATAATGCAATAAATACTAGTATATGAAATCGGATAAGGGGAAAAATAACCAAGAGTGACCAGTTACAAAAATTCAGTAGTATTCAAGGATCACAGCAAGACTGTCCTGTGCTAAGGAAATTACGGAACTTTGGACCAGACTGAAAATATAGTGACACAGAGAACAGCAAGCAACCAAAAAAACCCCAACAAAATAAAAAAGCGATATTCAGAGAGAGAGAAGAAAAGCAAAACTGCAGAAAGAGCTTGGGAATAGCAGCTAAAATATCTTATTTGCAAGACAACTGAATTACCTCCAAAATCTGGCCTTAGACGAATGTCATAGCCTTTCAGCAGTCTATCCACCGTCTCTTTAACCAGTGACATATTGCTAGGGTCATTGGCACTAGAAAACAACAATAAGAGGAAATAGATAAGCCACCATGCACAGGTTTCTCAAGATCAGATCCACACTACATATTCCTATTAACTGGCATAGACAAAGTGAAGAGGTAAAAAGAAAGGGATCACTTACCTCTGTGCACAGACCACAGCTATTATTAAAAGGAATGTCCAAATCCCAAAGTAGCCCTTTTTCCGGACTCTCCACATCCCTTTAGCTTTTGATATGATTTAAGGTTTCACTGAAGAGAAGAAGAGATCCAACTTATTCTGGCCAGTGCAGTAATTCTAATGTGAGGCGCATGCGCACGGCGTACCAAAACATCAAAGGAGCAGCGGTGGCTGCTGGAGATGGAGCAAATTTCCTTGTTAAAAAAAAAAAAAAGAATTAAAGGGGAAGAAGGAAATGTATTATATTTTTTAAAAAGTCACACCACTGGAGAATCAAGAGTAAATTTTGATTGTTGTCCTCGGATTAGGGTAATTTAAACTACAACGTCTGGTGAGTTTCGGGAGTTACGGGATAAGGCAGTTTTTCATCTTGCCTATGAGGCTGCGGGTTTTTTTCTTTCTCTTTCTTTCTTTTCTTTTCTTTTTTTTTTTTTAATGTGCAGAACAGGATTAGGAAAGGAGGGAAGAGCTGTTGTGGGGAGAGTGAAAAGAGAGGACAGGGGAATCTTTGAGCCAGGGGGTGCAGTGCCTACATAAGGCTTGGCAGAACAGGGAGGGGGGAGGGTGTTGCAGGAGGGCGGGAAGAGAGTTTCAACTTTTTTTTTCTTCTGGAAACAGCTTCCCCTACCTGACGAATGAGGGGTACCTAGGGGGTGGGATAAGGGCGGAGGAGAAAGGAGGGAGGGAAGAAGAAGGTAGTAGAAAAAGGGTAGGAGAAAGCGAAGAGGGCGGACTCTGGGAAACCGGCTAGATTTCTCAGGCAAAAAGAAGAGAGGAGGAAAAAATGATAGTTTCTAGGAGCAGGGGTGAAGATAGATTTCTCTTTCTCCCTCCTTCTAGCAGGATATTTATTTCTTTTTCTTTTACCCCATACCCTTAGAAATAGGAGCTTTGGGGTCCTGGCTTCTTACCATGTGACGCGCCTGGACGGCTTTTCGGGGTTATTTATAGCAGGAAAATACAGAAAAGGGAGAGGCAATTTAAAAAGCCACTGCGTTTTCGCCCGGATTTCTAACTAATTTTGCCTTTCGGTGCCTACATCGGTGTGACTGGCAAGGGTGAGAATGGCAGTTACCCGGGTGGGGGTGGAATGGGTGGGTAGCGATATAAAGGGACTAAGGGGGAGGGAGATTGAAACCTTAAAGGGGGCAGGGATGGGTGGGAGAGAGGGAAGAGTAGTGGAGGTTGCAGAGGGAAGTTCTTCAGCTGGACTTGTCCTAGACATCCACACGCGCGCGCACATACACGCACCCCCGCTAGGACACACATCCCTCGTTCCCCTCCCCTCCTTGTCTCCTCTTCGTTAGTTCCCAGATTCACTCTGAACCCCTTCCCCCTCTCTTGACATCCTCTGGGACCCGAACCCCTTCCACCCTCCCCTTTCCAAATGCAGAGTAGTGATGCAGGGGTGGTAGGCAAGGCTTCGCTGTAGATCCCCGTAGCCACAAAGCAGGAGCTGTGCAGGATGGCACTGAGACCCACAGAGGCAAGATACAAAGAGATTCCCAGAGAGAAGGGCAAAGGAGGAGGGCGAAAATGGGAGTGGGGAGAATTGAGTACAGGAGAAGAATAAGGGGGGAACTCCTTTGACATCTAATGTCTCCTCTTCCTTCTCCTTCATTACTACCCCCTCTTCCTCCTCGAAAGTCCTTTTTGGACCCCAATTGCTCACTGCCCCATGGGCTGGGGTTGGCTCTGCCCCAACAGTCCCGTGGAGTTCCTGGGTACCTGGGAGGGAGAGCTGTTTTAATTCTTCAAGTAATAAAATTCCTTCATTTGCATTAGGAGGAGGGGCACAAATACACAGAGTGGGTGAGAGGTAGGATGTGGCTCATGGTCCCAAGAATGAGCAGAAGCGTAGTGGTAAGAGTTTCTACTGGGCCATGAAAACCAGTGACTCTCCTGATGTTTTCTTTGGGAACTTTCCCCTTCTTTCTCACCCCTGTCCCCTTTTTGGACCATGCCCCTGCCCAGCCAAGTGTCAGGTGAACGAGGCCAGCTCCTCAGCCATGCATGCAGCTCACGGTCTGCCACCAGACATTTAGTTATCTGGCATCTGACTCTACCCTTCCGGCTCCTGTCCATCTCCACCCCCTCCCTACCCCATCAAAAAAAAAAAAACAAATGAAAAAGAAAAAAAGAAAAAAAGCTCCCTAGTCCTGGAGTGCGGGATGAGGGAGCCCAGGATTTACCAGGGCTTCAAGTGGGCAAGTACCTTGGTAATGAGCTTGGGGCCCCTGTTGGATGGAAGGTGCAGGAGAAAGGCATACAGTGTCATCTGTTGCAATAGCGCTGGGCACTAACCCTGCTCAAGGGCTTCCTAAATCCCAGCTACACTCATGACCCACTTCCCTCCTACCATCGCCTCCTTTCACTTCATTCCTCACTCTGTTTGGTCAGTGGGTCACACCAGGGCAGTGCAAACACAGAAGAGGAAGGAGAGAGGAAGTAGCAATCTGTGCTCTTGGGATGGGAAAGGTGGGAAGGGGCAGGAGGTGAGAAAATTTGTGTTTACAAATTTAAAAGCAACAAAATTAAAAGAGTAAATAATCATAAATAAGAAAAAGGTAGGTAGGTTGATATTCACATCTATGCCTTTGATGATAGTAGGATATGGATCTGCAATATGCTTCTTCCCTACCTCTAAAGATCCATCTATGATAATTCTTTAATATATATCTAGGCCTCCACTAAAGTCCTTCTCCATATGCCTTACTGTAAAGTGGAAAACCCTGGGGTCTTTTTGAAGGTTATGCTCTGGCAGGTGTTACTGAGCTGGAAAATCTTTTAATATTAGTTCCAGGAAAACCACAGGTATATTACTTGAGTACCAAGCTAGCTGTAGTCAGAAAGGTTTATTAGGAGGTCTCAACACCAGGTGATAAATTCTTTTAAGCCACAGCAATACATTTAAATCTATAAAAGTATGAAGGAGTTGCTGTTTGCATCAGGGGAACAACCACCCCTACCCGAGAAATAAAGAATCCTTAAAGTTTTGACACATATAGTCCACGATCCAATACATTCCTAGTTTTTTATATCTATATTGCAGATGGGGGGGAGAGGGGTGGTGGTGTCTATTCATCTATTGCTTCTTCTCTCTCCCTTTTACACAATCAAACTTTTCCAGAGAGAAAGATTGGCTCTTTAAAAAATCATGAACAGTGTACTGGCCTGATACTCAGCAGCAGAATAAGCTGCAAGCAAACCAGCTAGTGAGACACGACCCTCCAGGAATCACCACAGACCAATCGCTTTGCAATTTGGCTGTTCAAATTATACCTCTCCTATTTCTTGTCTAACTGGGCCCATGCTAGTTTGGATAGGAAGGAGATTTTTGTTCTGTAATGCAATAGGAGAAAACAAAACAAACAACAGAAAAAAAAAACACCCCAACCCCAGACTACCCAGCCAAGCATTACTTGCCTCACTTACAGAATACTAATGAGGTTGGGGTGGATAAATGGAAAATGCCCTCCTGCCTCTGTATTTTTCAGAGACCCCAAAGTTAGACACATGGAGCAACTTGAAAACAGTTGTATGTTTCATTTGCTTTCTCTACCTGTACTTTTGCTCGTACAGTTCCATGGTGCTAGAATGCCTTTCTGAATCTCCTGAGATTCTGAGAATCATATTCTTACCTGTTGTTATACTACCTCTTCTTCAAGGCCTAGCTCAAAGTCTACCTCCTGCAGGAAATCTTTTTTTAATTACCCAGTTTGAACTGACTTCATCTAATTTTATAGCATGTTATACTCATCTGATACATACATGCAACTGATTATTTGTATTTTTTATGTAGATGTTTGCTTCTATTTAGATGAAAATTCCATTTTACACTTATCTTTAAATTCCTCCCAGTAAACTAGCAAGTGTTTTATCCCTAATAAGTGCTTAACATTTTTTGTTGAATGAAGAACAAATGTAACAGTTCAAACTGAAAACAAGAATGCAGAAGGTAACAATCAATGGAGATTGAAGTTAGTCTCAGAATAGTTCTAGAAGGTGTGAATTTGAAGCAGGTTCCAAGGAATGAAATGAAAATAAATTTTACAGTGAAGAGTGAAAGACATTTCAGATAGCAGTTAGGTTCAAAATCTAGGCGGTAACAAAAAGGAAAGGATTTTTTAAAAATCCTTAATTCTTTTGAAAGAGCTGTTGACGTAGATATATGTTGATAACCTTTTACCCAAGGTTGAACTGATAGCAATGGGGATACGTTTCTAGTCACTCACTCTGAAAGCTGAAATGGGCCAGTGATTTGTATTGGTTTCTGTTCCGTAGAAATATGTACACACAGTTAATCTTAAAGATCATTGACTTGAAAGTTAGAACTTGTTTGGTTAAAATCCCACCTCTGTCCCAAAGTGCATTAGTGAATTTGGGCAAATCGCTTCTCTCTCTCTATCTCAGTTTTTTCATCTGTACAAATAGAATATTGGACTATATTTCTAAAAGTCCTTCCAGCTCTATGAACTTATCCTGCAAATTTTTGAAAAGAAACAATTACCATAATAGTAATACAATGAGGAAAATAATTGAATTTCAAGATCTCAGTTTACTGGTATCCTTTCTTCAAAACCTCCAATACTTCAGACAACAATTGAGGAAACAGTGATTTCAGACTAAAATACAGAATGATAATGAGATTTATTTAACTTGGTCTAGAAAATTCACAACTTTGCAATACCAGCCAATTCCAGAATCCCAAACTCTTCTTGATTCTGAAAACATTCAGATTTGTAGTATCACATGGGGAACAAAGGGAAAACAAAAAGACCTCAATATAATTATGAAATTGCTCTGGCCTGTCATAGCTTCTTTATTGTTGAGACCAAGGGAGTAGGAGGACACTGTGCAGAAATAAAAGAACTTTTTTGTTCTTATTTATTACCAGAGCTTTAGAATGTCCTTGTAGTTGAAAGGTGATGTATTTTACATAAAGAGTCCTATAAATCTCTACCTCATTTGTCTTCCCAATTCTTGCTCACTTGGATGAAGTAATATTAATATTGAATTGGGGTAATGCAAACACTGCATGATAAGCCATCAGTCATTTTGAAAGACTAGTCTCAATTAGTGAAACATCTAAATTATAAACTCCCTTAGAAAGAAATTCAGTTGTATTACTTTCAGATATATATGTTAACACAGACTAATGGTTAACCATATATTAAGTAGTACAGATTCTACTGAGACAAATGAAATCATTGATAATTAACCTATTATTTTTCTATGCATACAGGTGCCACTAGAGTAAATTTAACCATTAGATAGTAATTAAAGAAAGTTATACATTCTTGCTATAATTTTATTCAAATGATACATTTGCTTAGCAAAACTTTGTATCAATGGTAGTAAAAAAAAACATTTTGTGTATGTTTATAATGTCCAGATCACTAGACTCTGAATGAATAGATTTTGC